CCCCCACCCACCCACCCCCGAGCTCGCCGCTTTTACAACTCGACTGCGGATGACAGAAACGCGTAAAAAGTTATTCGTGCAAAGTCAACGCATGTTATGTCGCGTTCGGTTGTGATGGGGGAACGTTACCCCGAGACCAATTTGGATGGAGTTTTAACTGGTTTCCTTTCACGGGCGTGCGGGAAAGCGGCGGTCGGTTTGGAGACGTCAGCCGTGGGCCAACATCTGCTTCGGCCATCGCCCAATTACGGCGGTTAAAAGGCGCAAACGCCGCGCTCGCACGCAGCATCAACAGTGACGTATGGCCAAGACGTACACCAAAGGGACAGGTCAGGAGGTACACCTGCAGAATGAAACAAGTGGGGGAGGGAGGGGGTGAAGGAAGGAAGGAAAATCAGCTTGAATGCGTGATACAATATTACGAAATAATCATCATATCAGATGGACCTCATTTGCATTGGTGTAGGATCGCCATACTTCCTCTCGAGGCTAAGTGGCCTTGGCATTTATTTGAGGTGAGGCGTTTTTTTTTTTTAATCGTTTTTTAGAAAGGTGCCAGAATGTATCCTCCCTAAAAAATTATATGAGAGGAGCATTTTTTTTGTTTTTTTAGAGAGGAGCCATAAATGTTGACACGCATCCAAAAGAAAAAAAAAATATGCACGCTACACAATACACATGGCAGCAAATCGAGACGTAAAACGACAACACTCCAGGATTCATCTGCTGGGAGGCATTTATTTGATATCGGGCATTTATGAGAGAGGAGTCCTTTCTTTTGTACAAATATCGTAATAGGACTTTTTTGGGGTGAATTATACATTCAAAAATAATAAATAATTCCTCAAAATAGTACATCTTACAATTCTACAGTATGGAACTAGTGGAAAAAAAATTATGCAATTCAATTCCTATGGATTGCACAAAAAGTTAAAAAAAATTATTACAGGTATATTGTATTGAATAATATTTGGATTCACAATATTTTCCATTATTCATCAGATTCATGACAGAATGGAAATTTAACTGAGATCATTTTTTCTCATCATGTCAATCAAAACTGAGCATATTTGCAAACCACTTTTTTTTTTTGTTTTATCCAACTTGTACTGGATGGCGTGAGCGGGTGTACCTAATGTTGTGACCGGCGAGTGTATCCCATCTCAAGGCCCGCGCAGGCGGTAAACATGGTTAAAAATTAAAAATCTCAAGTTTGGCAATGTTTTTTTTTTTTTTTTCTGTTTCAAGCAGAAAATAAAAGCTGTTGACTTATTTACCGCCTGACGTCTATCAACAATTCCTCACTCTCTCCTCTTTTTTTGGTGTGCGTGTGCGCGCGGAATAATGAATATATTTACAATGTCATTCAGAAGTGCGCTCGCCTCCAGATAGTTGAGCTTCCTCTTCATGCACCTCTGTATTTTATTCAAAGCAGAAGCCTTCTATTACCCAGCCTATCGCTACAGCCCGAGGAGAAACACGGGGTAAAATAGTGACTTAATATTTCATATTGGTTGGATTATTCATCCGCACAAAGACATTTCCACCACTTCCTCCCCGCACGTTGCGACGTCCCATTTTTAATGAGGACGCCGCAACGTGGAAACTTTTTAAAAATTCAAATATTTTCCTTCAATCTTTAAAGAGCTTATATCTAATGAACTAAGATTTAATTTGGTGTGGCTTAGCATCCATTTGCAGTGCTCCTAATTAGCCATGCAGACCTCGGCGCGGATGAAAATGAAGGGGGCCAAAGCCCAAGTGAAACAAGAATTGGTTCCACTTTAAGTATTAATTGATTGGCTCGGCAGTATCCCTTACACACGCGCGCACAATGCAGAGCAGTCATTTCTCATCAATCTGGCTCTGCTTCATTTGCCTGTCTACACCCCCCCCCATCCCCTCCCACCCCCAGAGAGTCACGAGCTATCTGCTAGCGGAGCTTAGCATTTGATCACGCGGTGTCAATATCAAACCTCGGGATTACACGCGGCTGTCGTCAATAGCTGTAATGGTTTTTACATGTGTTAAGGTTAACTCAGCCATTTAATGTGCGCCGTACCTCCGAGATAATCGCTCAAAACGGGGAGGGATGGGGGGGGGATAGAAAAAAAATAATAAAACGAGGACTTAAAAATGTCACGCAAACCTCTGCAGACCTGGGCTTCCGCGATGATCATACGCTCCACTCGGAGGCTCTTGTTGCATTTTTGACAGCTTATGATTATGGAGGAGACAATTTCCGCTCTTCTTCAAGGTCTTGCGTTCATACACGTGTGATCAAGATTGTCTGCGCGTCACCAGAGATGCCATTATTGATCATAGCCCATCATGTGAATTCTCTTAAGTGTTGATTAGGGGAGCGCTTAAGAGTATTCGCTGTTGATCCTTTCATTTCAAGTCAGGAGACACTTTTTATGTGCTCTGCGTCGCTCCACATTTCAACAAAATGACATTTATGAACTCACTTTGATGGTTATTTGGACCCGAGCGGCTGTTGGAGCGGTCCGTTGTCGGGCCTGCTAAAGCTAGGTGGCACCTCTAAAAATACTGCTAGCTTGTTTTCATGAAGTTCGGGAGCAAATTTAGCAACATAAATGCTTCAGAAATCAGGATATGCAATAAGACACATTATAATGGTAAGCGCGTGTAAGATAATTAGTGACCTCTGAAATGAGTCAAAGACCTGAGTCCACGCAAGCTAGCATGCTAGTAAGCATAAGCGCAACTCAACTAAATACATGAACTCGTCAATTAAGGGCCTAAAAATCATATCTGAGCATATATTTACATATATCCTACTTATTTGTTCAAGTTTTAAGCCACATAGAAGCTGAAACAAACAAAATAAAACAAAGAAAACAATGACATATTATACATACATACTGGAAGCAGTGAAGCCGAAACAAACAGAATCAGGAATAGATTGTGGGAGTAAATTCATACAATTTACAATTTAGCTTGTGAACGTACTGTTGCTCAGCGCTTCTGAGCATATTTAAGACCGTGCCGACCCGAACGCGACTTTTACTTGATTACTACTGTACTGTACTAATTGCAGGCTAGCACGTGCTTGACATTGTAATCGGTACACTCCAGATCCGATGCTCATCCCTGCGTGTGTCCGCGGGTAAACCATGCGCAGGAGTCGTGTATTTACTTTTCCTGACATATAATACTCTCCCAACTGTAACGGGCGCAAGTGACAGCTACGAAATCCCCTCCCCGGCCCCCGATGCTGGCGAATGAGGAGCCGCTCTATTAGACACATGATCACATGATGTGGGATTAGTGGACTGGAGTCTTCAAAGCTGCTATTACAACTCCCGAGATGTGATACAGGCCTCCCCGCCGCTCCCCGCAGGGGCGCGTGGCTCTTCCTCAGAGAATTACCTGACACCGGCGTGTCTGCGCGCTGGGAGACGAGCGCCGCCGTTCCGAGTGGAACGGGCGACATCAGTCGGATATGCTCGCGCCGTGCTGCGCTGAGCCAACAAGCCTCGCATTTAATCCCCACGCGTGTGAGCTGCCACGGTGGCTTTGGCGGGCCCGCATCACAGAAAAGGAGTTTAGGGTGCTCAGGCTGGAATGATGGGCGATAAAGTGGATTACAGATGGAGAAATGCCATCACCGTTGAATAGGCGGCGACGGCTTCCAAATGGTAATCGTGATTCACTTTTAGCTAATCGCGCTTGTATAAGCTCCGCTTGGCGGAATTAGGGTGGAGAAGCTTTTCCACGTTCGTTAGGTGAAGTGCGAGTTTAATATGGTCGGGCGACAACCACTTAAGTAGGCTTATATACCGAGACAACTACAGTTCGTGTACCTTGACTTAGTTGGGGTTTCATTTGTTCTGTAAACAAGCCTCGGAAATCAATTGACTGCCACAATCTATTTCATCCATTTTCTCCATTGAAATGAATGGAAATGCCACAAATCCGCTCCGGTAAGCCGAAGTGATATCAAGGCAAAATAAATTGCCGTATGTTCAGCACTAGCATGTGTGTTGGAGGTATGCCTTCAAGCGACGTGGCCTCGTGAGTGACATCAAGAGCTGTCTTGTTCGTCTGAGTGTGAGAGTCTCAGCGTGAGTTGTGGCCTGCTTCCTTATGAGTGTTCTCATTTTGCATTTGCGCTTGACTTTCTCGGGCAATACAGGGCTAAAAGCGTATCAGTGACTGTGGCTCGCCTTGGCCACGAGCAAGGACATTACAGTACCTTCATTGCTTTAGGTTTTATTTTTTTCTTCTTTTCCCCGCTTCACTCCAGCGGCAGCATGTCCAAATTTTGGCCTGCCACGCAAAACAAATCAACTAATTTACGGATCGTAATTCGGAAATGTTATGAGTTGTGTCAAGGTAACGTTACTTCCCAACCAAGCTTGCTAACAAATTAACCATGCTAACAGTGCTAGCCTTACGAACTTTACTGACGAAGCAAATAAACTACTTATTGTACTCACTTGCTCAACTTTGTTAAATGGTAACTGGAGCCCATCCCAACTAAACGTGGGCTGATTTCTTTAGAAAATATATTTGAATCAAGAAATATGTTCCATTTGTGACACTAACGCTCTGCATGAGTGAAATGGCAGACGTGTTCATCCGTTTAATATGTGGTTAGTATGGGAATGCAAAAATGCAATGGAAAATACGGATTGGCCTGTGCAGGGTACCGGTCGAGGAAAAAAAATCTGGATGACTGATACGGTGAAAATTAAAATACATATACATACGCGCATTAAAAAGATGCAGTCATAATTGAAAGCGCAATGATTCTATTTTAGGAGCCACCTGAGCCGTTCCGAGAGATTTTATGGTGGCCATCCGAGCAAACATTTCACCGGAGTTTTATCACTCTGCTCACCTGTATCGCAACAAAGAAGAAAAATGGAAAGTATAAAAGTGGAGGGATAGTGACAAAACAAAACAACAACAACACAAAAAAAGAAAATCAAAAAAACAAAACAATTTTCTGAAGGTAAGGGGAGTAAAAAAAAAAAAAAGTGTCTGCATTCTGAACTTGAAGTTACCTTTTCTAAAGCTGAACGCTGGGAATTCGGACCTCCCAGCGCAAACATTAACGGACTGAAATGCAGCTCTGGATGTAACAAAGGAAACAATACCAGGGAAGAGAGCCAAGACGGCAGAGCTGGCACGCCTGTTCCTGGGACCATGGGAATTTGGCTCCCAGAAATAATGGGGTTGAACAAGGCCCAGCACCACTGCTACTGTAGCTGGGAAAATGGTGCACCGCAAGCCAGGCTCCATCCAGGGAGACTTAAAACAGTGGAGAGAGGAGAAGGAGGGTGGCGCGTGGGGGGCGAGGGAAGTGGTGGGGTG